CTAGACACTGAGAGATCATGCTCCAAGATGGATCTTCAAATCCAAGCCCTTGCCCCTTCCGATCCCTCATTTCTCCATGAAATGGAGGAGGCTGTTCAGTGCTCAGCAAAGCAAATAGAGTGGGTGAAGCAAGTTTGCACACAGCCTGCTCAAGATCACCTTTATGCTACTACACTAGAAGAGGTAAAGGATGACGAAGGCTATAGGGACGTTGGGGAGCATACCGAAGTTATCACAGAGAACTCCCATGATAATCATGATAAGGAAAGTCCTCTGGTGGCAGATCACACCTTTCCTCATTTCTGCTCTAACATGATGGGCCCGTGCGAGGAGATGCAAGATGATCCCATTGAAGAAATTGTTTGGCGACTTGCTCTCCAATCTGTTCGAGAAGAAGAAGAGAGAGCAAGGGTGAGGAAAGAAGTTGTGGAGGATGAGGAAGAAAGCAAAGAAGAGGTAGTTCTTGATCTTTTCCCAGGGGAGAGACCACATGTTGAAGAAGGAAGGGGAATTGAGGAAGCAATTGGCGTCCAGGCTGAGGATGAAGCTGAGGTGGAAGAGGCTTGCACCGGCCCTATGTTACATGTGATGTCTCCACCAAACTTCGAGGAGCTGCTTGGCAAGAACCCATTTGCAGTGTGTCTTTGCCAGACCAAGACCAAATCAACATCAATCCCTCTTGGTGGATGTGATGGTGGTCAATCGAATATATCTTATCTGGTTTGGGGCAATGAGACAAGATCAGGCGCGAAGGAGAGGTCTCGAGAGTGGAGACTTCATCTTCCTCAAGGCCACGAGCAATCTTCATCACCCATCACTTCCCGTGCTTGTGACTTGAGACTCCACATCATCGACGAGAACCTAAACTTCAAGGAGGTTCTGGGGTGGACAGAAACTTAGGAGCCACCGTCCAGCTAAGATGAAAAAGAAGCACTTGTGGCGAGGCAACCCACCAAGGTTTGTTTTCCTTTCGTTTATTTTCGGTTTTTCCACTTGGAACTATGGTTTCTATCACCTAGTGTGTTTTGATGACTCTAGCTTTGTGGACTGGTCCCTCTTCCAGTCCGCCCCTGCTGACTGGTCCCATTTGCCCCCCCCCCCGGCAGTCCGTTTTCCCGATAACATCGTTCCCCTTTCTTTCACTCTGCTCCATTGAGGGCAATGTCGTGCTTAAGTGGGGGGGTGTTTATCTATCTTTGAATGCTATATGAGTTTGTGTGCTTGGAGCCTAGTCCACTGTCCAAATTTCGATTTGAGAGCTCCAAGTACTGTTCCATGCAATATCCTGCTCAATATGCTTTGAATTGACAGTTTTTATGGTGATATGCTCCCTAGGGAGGTAGTGTAGCACTATGGAGGATGTTGATGCATTTAAGAAGTCTCCTTCCTTCTTCATATTGTGTTGGTTGATTGTGTGAATTAGTGATCTTAGGAGCCTTGAATTGTGTGGTATTGTGGACTCTCTACCTGTCATGGACTACTGTACCATGTTTTGAAAGAAGGTGCTCAAAGATGTGCTTTAAAATAACGTCTCCCGTGCGAAAAGGGCGAAAGTGTGTAAGGGGAGACGGGAATCCGTTCCCAATTTTCACCTACTACCTCCAGCCCCCATACATTTCTTTCTCCCGCACGAGGCTCGAGACATCCGCTCCCGGCATGGCCGGTAAGAGCCGCGCTCCCGCAAAACCTTTGCTAGGTGGGAGCCCCCGTTTTCTGAAAAACAAGTTGGAACCTTTGAAAAGAAAGAGAAAAGAAAAAAAAAAGTTCCAACCATCTTCAAGGAGAAAATAGAGCAGTTTAAAAATGTGAGTCCATGATCTTTTGATTTTGAGAGTCCCTTCGTCCACGATTCATTTATCTTCTTATCACTGTCGCAACCGTCCTTCCGGGGGTCCGTCGGGGTTGCGTTGGCATTTTTGGGAGTCGTCATCGATATTACTTGGAGTGGATCGAACACTCTTCGGTCGGCTCTAACCTTAGGTCAGAACCGAGATATGGTCTCCGAAAATAAAGTTCTGGGTTCGGGAGTACGGTTACGTGTGGGGAAGTTAAACAACACCCCACAACGCCCTAAATCGGTACTACTTAAGTCGATAAGTTTTCATGCGAGTTGGGTGTATTTTAGTAATGATGGGTATTTATAGGGTCCCACTAGAACGTTTAATCGTATTAATTTATGGTTTTATTATACGTCCACTGGCGTCCATGGAAAGATAAAATTTATTAGTTAGTTGCATTTAATTATACGCCCACTAACGAACGATTTAAAGATAAAGCTAGTTGATTAGTTGGACTCGAACCTTATCGGTTGCCTACGTACCCGTAACACCGAATCAAAGTCCACGTAGTTCGTTATGTGGCTTTGATAATTTTAAGGGCTAATACCACTGGAAATACCATCCTTTAGAGAAAGTGCCATTTATATTACGTAACTTACAATATGACAATTATATACTAACCGTTAAGTTTTCTGTTAGTGGTTAACAGAAAATACAGTCAGCAGATGTGGCATATTTTAATAAAAATAAATGTAAAAAAATAAAATAAAGTCAAAAGTGGAAAAAGGAAAAAGGAATTTCGCATCTCACTATCTATCCATCTCTCCCCTTCAGCACCTCTGCTTCCGTCTCTCTCAAAAACCCAATACTACATCGCCTTCCCCGTCCGCCGTTGCCTCCGCCAGTCCTTCTTCTCGCTCGCCGCACTCCCTTCCGCACCTTCCCCTTCTTCTCTGCCTCAACCTTCGCCCCCAGCCAAGCTCTATTTTCCAACGCCAGAACCCCAACCACCACCAATCCCGACTCCCCATTCTTCCCGTACGCCACTCCCCCACCCACGATTTTGATTCCATTGAAGCAACCTTCAGCCACATCCGCGATTTCAATCCCATCAATGCCTCACAATACCTAATTGCTGGTGAGGTCGACATGCAGTTGATGAACGACGAAGAAGATGACAGAAGGAGGGCAAAATCTCCCTTCTTCGACTCTCCTTTGCCGTCGCAAGCATCCTGCCGCAGCCGGTGTCCCCTCTCGGGCAATCCGTGACGGTGGTTGCGTTTATCGCATCGTCGTCGCTGCTGCTCTGTTTCGCTGTGCGATGAAGAGGCGGGTGTTCGACAATGGCTAGGGATCTGGAGCTAGATGATTTCAGATTTGTGACTCACAGGACTACGACTTTGAGATGAGATTGAGAGGAGGTTTTGCTATGGTAAAAGAAAAATTGCTCAACGTTGAGGTTTTCTGGGCTTTAGTCCTTCTCGACATTGGGGTATGCGAATCGACTGCCATCGATTCCTCGAACTTCTTGGTCTTCTTCGTCTACGCGAAGCATGGTCAAGCGGGTGGACTGATTGCCGGCCAAAGCTCCCTTCTCTCACGATAGAGAGGGATGTCTGATTTGAGTCAACCAGAGCTTTGACCTTGGTTGCCCGCTTAGATGTGACTTTGTCTCTGGCGGGCGGACTCCGTCGATGAGGCATGATGTCGGCGGCAGCGAGAGAAAGAGTTTTTTTTTTGTCAAAGAGAGAAAGAGTGTTTAGAAAAAATTATTAAAAAAATAAATTAATAATATTAATTTATTTATTTTCGAAATAAAATTAATATTTTTTAATTAGTAATTTCTTATGTGGCACATATGTTGGCGACACCTAAGCGCCACATAAGCAATAGTCAAATATAAGTTGACCACCGTCAGGTCAACCGTCAATTCTAACGGTCAACAGAAATTCGCGTAACACAAATGACACATACCCCTAATACGTTGGAATATTTTTGTGTTTATTGAAAGTACGTCATATAAATGACACTTTCTCTAAAGGATGGTATTTCCAATGGTATTAGCCCTAATTTTAAATATAGCTTATATTTTTTACAGTCCACTAGTGTTGGTTCTCGTATTAAGAAATATGTTAAAACTTAATATGTCATTACGAGTTTAAAAAAGGGAATTGTAATCGTTAAGAAAGAATGAAATCAACTTAACTTAGATGTTTTTTTTTTGTCAATAATTTCGTATTAAGGATCAAAAATAAAATATTAAATTATGTGAATATGCATTATATACACTAATTGCAAGGCCTAGCCTACTGGCTAAAACACGTTTTTGAGTGTAAACCCTAGCACCCGGGTTCGAAGCTCGGCCAACACGATTTTTTATTTTAATCAAGGTTGTCAACCCGCGGGTCGACCCAATTTAACCCTAAACCGGTGAGAAAAACGGGCCGCACGGACTCGTCGGGTCAACCGCTATAAGGTACCGGGTTGGAGGTCAAATTGTGTAATTTTTTTCTTTGATTTGCGAAATGCGCCTATTTTCCGATTTTTCTTTTCGCCTAACTCAATTTTTAAAATCCTAAGTTGAACATTTGAATATTTATGTTATATAAGTGTGTGTGAATTTTCACTATCTGTTGGATCTAAGTACGATATGTTATTTTGGTGTAATTTTATATGTTATAACTCATATGTTAGATAAGATTTGATATAATTTATGAGGATAAGTACAATATAATGACTCTTTCCATATTTCCGGGCCAAACCGGGCTAAAACGGTCGACTCATTAATTCTTGACCCATTAGCTCGACCGGGTCCGGGTCAACCCCCATTAACCCTTGACCCATTAGCTCGACCGGGTCCGGGTCAACCCGCGGGTTGACAACCTTGATTTTAATTCTTAAAACAAAGACAAAGAGGGGGATATGGTGGTAATTTGACGAAAACGCGGTGGTATGGATGGGTAGTAATTAGGAAACCCTAGGGGCATTTTGGTCTTTTGAAATGGTCTGCTATATACACTACTCTAAGAAACCCTAATCGCTTCTAATCTGAGGCCGAGCGGCCGCCTCCCCTCTCTCTCTCGTTCTCTTGCTCTCGCCTCTCTCTCTCGTCTTCTCTTCCAGAATAAACCGAAAACCCTAGTCATCAAACAACGCCGCTCTCTCCTTTCCCTCCATTGTCTCTTCAAACTCGAGAGCTAAACAAACAAAATCCCTAACCGAAAACAACCAAAACTAGTCAAGGACCCCTGCCCTCTTTCGATCTGCTTCTCCTCTCTGGGCCGTCATCGCAGTTCTCTTCTCCTCGCCTTCTCTCGGCTAGCCAAGGAGACCGTTCGTATCGAACTAAATCGACCGAGAAGGTTTCGATCTAGGTAAGATCAGACATGCATGGTCCTTTCGATTCGTTTTCGGTGATTTTGATAAGTTTTAGGGTCAAATGGCTTTTGATTTGTGTTTTTTTTTCTTGCATTACTGGGTTGTCTTTTGGGGTTTCGATGGAAGGAGAAACGGAGGATGGCGCTGGCCCTAAGCTCCGCCGGCGACGGGCACGACGGTGGTTTGGCGACGGCTACGGCGGGTTAGAATTATATATTTTTTATTTCTACTTGGATTTGGGTCGGTACTAGAGGTGGCAATTTCAATCCAATCCATCAATCCATTAAAAATATCCACCTAATCCAATCCATTTAAATCCAATCCATTTGATCCAAATTCAATTGGATTGGTGGATTCATGGATTGGATCCACGGATCATTGGCAAATTACGGTTTAGTACCTATAATTTTTATTTTTTACATTTTGGTACCTAAAATTTTATTTTTTGTACGAAAAATATCATTGGAAAATTACGTTTTGGTACCTAAAATTTTTCATTGTGACATTTTAGTACCTAAACTTTTTACATTTTACATATTGGTCCTTGGTTGAGGATGTCATTTGGATTCATGGATAATCCACCAATCCACTTGATCCAATCCATGAATCCACCAATCCATTAAATCTAATCCATTTGATCCATGGATCCATCCCACCAATCCACCAATCCAATCCATTTGCCACCTCTAGTCGGTACTGACCTCTATTTTTTGTTTCGGCAGGATGTGAGAGTGGGCAGGTATAGGTAAGGTTCTCCTATACTCAGCTTAGTGTGATTAGGGAATTTGAACTAAAAAATGGACTATATAATTTTTAGGATAGCTAACAGATCTGGGTTTTCAATAAAAAAATGGTTATGTATGAGTTTGAGTGATTCTGAAATGTTATTGTGTGGCTCTTGCGGTATAGTTCTGGGATTTTAGATTTGGTGGATGATATAGTGGAGAAATTTTGGTGTTATGGTATTTGATCTGGGATGGGTTGATGGTTGATTGATGATTAGTGCTAATCTATGTTTCTACATAGTTCGGGTAGTTTGAGGGTTCTATGGTCGTTTGGAATGGGTCGTGGTATTTCTCGAAACTCTATTTTGTTGCGCTCGATTTTGGTGATTGTTGCGTATATTCTGGGTTTGGATCTGAAGTTTATTGTCTTTATGGTGCGTGGTATTAGTCGTTTTTTCTTGACAAAAGGGGAACGAAAATACATCATTAAGTCGTAGATTTGTATTAAAAAAATCTTCAGCTATTAGCTATTAAGTGGTAGATTTATATAAAATAAAAGGCAGATTAAATTAAAATGATTGATAATGATATTAGCAAGTGCAGAAATATATATGATTCAACATAGATTATTAACAACGGTGGAGAAACTTGAATGAAATGGAATGTTATTAGAAAAAGTGAATGAAAGGAAAGTATCTCTATATCTCACTCTTTCTCCAGCGTCTCCCCTTATCTTTTTCCCAACCAAAAGCTCTCCCCAACCAAGAGCAGAAGAGCTCGTCTTATATAAAAAAAAATGTCTGCCATGTGTCGTTTCCTCCTTCGGCTTCGTCCAGGCTGAAATTGCCCTGCATCTTTCTAATTGACCAAGTTTTGAGGCTGTATCTCAAACCTCCACCTACAAAAGTCGGCGCTGACCAAGTGCTTAGAAAATATTGGGCCGAGTTGGGCCTATCTTGAATCCGCCTGGGCCGGTACTGGGCTCGGTTTAGTCTTGAACCTGGGCTCCGCTGTGGGCAGAACTCTGATTATCGGTTTCTTGGGCTTGAACTAACTGATCTCTCTTCTTTTTTCCAGGTTGATGTTGCTGGTTTTGGGCTCGCAAATGGTGACATGGATTTGAGAAGACAGCCCATTGTATTAGCAATGGAAATTGTGTATTGTTGTGTAACAAACTTTAAATTTAATGAAGATATCTTGTCATTGCCTTCGAACATTGAAAACACTCTCTAATACAAAACCCTAACTGTGTACCAAGTCTTTTCTTGATGTTGCTTCTTAAGACGATTGCAATCTGCAAGTAATCCATTTATGTATTCAAGCCGACTAAATTCCACTTCTTAGTTTGAAGTCTTCAAGTCTTTTCATAGTTCTTAGACCCATACAAAATGTGGTGTTTACAATCACTATTTGCCATGATACCGACTCGAGACTAGAGTTCTCGCCGAAGAAGTTAGGAGGTGTCTTGTGCGTCTGTTGACCTTGCAAGCTGCTAAATGATTTAGAATTTCCTCTACCGACGATCGTGGTTGCATGTTTCTATAAAGGTCTGGAGAGTTGCATTGGTTTGAGTCAAGTATTTGCACATGTTTGCACTCTCGTTTGTTGATCATTTTGGTTTGAGTTTTTGCTTTCTTGGACTATTTTACGCTAGTTTGTGTTCCTTTGTCACATTTCAGGTCCTAGCATGTAAATTGAAGCATAGACGCAAGTTTCAAGTCAATCGGAGATCATTTGGCCATTCGGAAGAAGAAACTCGAGAATGACCCGAGGAAGAATGGACTTCTACCTCATATTATGGACAAAAAATCATGGAAGCTTGTCATGAAAAGAAAGAGGACGAGACTACGAGCTTCTAGGATCAAACGGCGACTAATTCGGAGTCCGAACAAGGGAGAAACGAAGCATTAAACAAGAGCGGAGGAAGAAATACGGGCAGGAGAAATACGACCGTATTTTCCGCTCCCATGCCCTTATTTTCACCGCCGAGAGGAGCCTTGGATGCGCTGAAACTTAACCTAATCGCGCGTTTTGGATGAAATACGGGCATGGAGGAATTACGACTGTATTTCTGCCCGTATGTCACCTATAATCGGGGTTTTGAGGCAGATTCGAGCCAAAGAAAGGGGAATCGAGTTTTTGAGCAAAAAACAGAGCTTTAGAGAGAGAAAGTGCGAAGAACAAACCCTAGGAGCTATTTGGAGTGGATTTCTCACCATTGAAACCCAGATTGCATCCCCAAAAGTGAAGATCGACATCCTAGAGTAGATTATCCTCATCTTTATGAGTATGACTACTCTGATTTCTGTTTTCCTCTCTCTCTCTCTCTTGTAGAGAAACTCACCAGCTTCAAAACAAGACTTTCTTTGCCCCTTTCCATTGATCCAATTGGAAGAAACTTGAGTGCAAAGTAAGGTACCTGAAACGGATAAAACACTTTGACAAATTTTGGAATTCATTTCATAACTTGAGATGGATTTTAATTCAATCCATTCTGGCTTGTAGACTGAGCCAAATGGGATCATATCACTAAGCAATCAAGTAAAAACATGTGTACAATAAGAAATTTTCATTGTTTTCATAACCGAAGCGGATACTGAATCGAAAAATTTATTGACTTACGGTTCATTGGTTAACCTTTACAAAACCATTGAACGAATCATACATGATATATAACATACAAGGCTTGTATAATACACCAATTTATAAATGAAGTTATCATTAACCATAAATAATTTCAAATTCATATCATCACAAAAAGATGTACAAATCTTTCAAACCGTCTCACAAAAGAAATCATTTTTTTTTTAATTCTTAAGGTGCCTGTCGGTTGTGGACCATGTAAAGTCGACAACGAGGTTGGAAAATGAGAAGAGTAAGTATAAATAAAATTAATAATTATGAATAAAATTAATAATTATGATTTGATGATCTTAGTTTATGTTGAAGTATTTTAGGAAAAAAACTTTTATGGTTAAAATAATGCACCAGTAGATCAGTTAAATCGTAGTGGTTCATCTAGTTTTATATTGAACCGTAAAAAAAATGTTTGGTTCATCGATAACCGTCCAAACAATGGACCGAACCATTATCGCAACTGGATTGACGTCTTTACTGGCCCGGCCTTCCATCCGGTTCGGTTTTTATAATAAAGGGATGGGAATTTGTTTTGTTTTGTTTTTTTTTTTTTTGAGAATGGGAATTTGTCAATGTCGTCAAAAGCGAACTGGAGTACGACCCGATAATGTGAATGGTTTGGTCTTTAACGGTCCAACCGACATTAGACCGTTTAAAAACCGTTAGAGAACCGGCACTTAATAAACAATAAGTATAAATGGTAGACACTTCTTAATCATGGTAAACCATGACTAAATTAGTACATTATATTTTTAAGTCTTAACAATTCTAGAATAAGAGTACCAAAAGTTCTAAAATCCAGTCTCACCAACTTCACAATTGAATCAAAGGCCTCTTGTTCAATGTTAAATTAATAATTTGAATCAGTGGAAGCAGTCTCACCAACTTTACAATTAGTCAATTAAATGTTTAATTTACCTCGCGTCGGCTGGGAGCTGTGGAGTGGGAGATGCTGGTCAGAGATGCCGCGGAGTACAGACGGAGTGGGAGATGCTGGTGGGAGCTGCGGAGTAGAGACCGCCGATGGGAGATGGTGCGGAGGTGAGACGGCCAGAGCAAGGGAGATGGGCTAAAGCAGGGGAGATGCTCTGAAGATGGGTTGGAGCAGGGGAGATACTATGGAGATGGAGACGACGTCGACAAGAAGCTCTACTGGCAACGAAGCGGGACAAGAAGCGACGACGAAGCGGGAGGAGGGGAGCTGCTAATGGCGATGGCGAGCAGGGAGTGGGAGCTGGTTTGATGCGACTGCGGATGCCGACGGCGGGAAGTGTCAATGGCGGCAGGTCTGGCGCCGCTCTTCAATCTCTGTTCGTGAAGAGACAAAGGACGAAAAGAGATAAAGTGAATTATTGCTAGGGTTTTTTCCAGCCCCGACGATTTTGCCATTCATTTTCAGTTTTTTTTATTAATCGTAACGGTAGGAATGGGGGAGAACCGGGTGGCCGGCTTGAGCGACCCGAGCGGTTAACCGCGTCGGCCGCTCGTCGGCCGCTCTAGAAAGCCGGAACGACTAATTGACTGATCCGAGCCGGTTTTATGCCCGGGTGGCGGCTTTAGCGGTTCGGCCGGCCGGCTCGGCTCGGTCTTGACAGCACTGGAATTTGTTCTTAAGAACTACTTAGGGAAAAAATCGCTTTAAAGGCAGGAAAAAGTTCTTTCGTTCGCGAGCTCAGGTCCTCCTCGCTGAGGACTCAGGAGTCTCTTCTGTTCTTGAGAGCTTGTCCTCGCGTCTTCGCCTTCCTTCCGTCTCTCTCAATTTTACGTCGCCTCATTTCTCGATTCGCGCTTCAGCTACCAGATTCCATCCGGAGCGGCCTTCCCTGCTGCTTCATCCGTCACCGTCACTCATGACTATAATGATTGCTACGCCGCTGGATGTAAGCGCCACTCATTCTCCGAATTTCATTGATGCAAACTGTTCGTAGCTAGCAAGCTGTTCGTTCGTTCTAGAGCTATCTCGCGATCTTATTCCTGGTTTAGTTTCCCGTTGTGCGAAGCTCTGAATTTGGAGCCTGAGAGATGTAATTTTGTTTCATTAGCGTGTGGTGCATGGTTAGGGTTTTGATTCGGTATTGTAGTGTCATTTTTGCTCGATCGCTGCTTGACTTGTGCCTTGTCTTCCTTTGGATTAATAGCAAGAAGACGAGGAGCTGCAAGTGCCGCATCCAGATTCTGGCGAAGTTCAGCCAATGGAAGGTTAGGAAGTTGAATTTCTTCGTTCACTTGTTTTGGCTTGTTGACTTGCCTCTGTTAGGTAGTTTCCGGTGTTAGGGCTCATAATATGTTGTCTTCCCCCTCCTAATAGAGGCACCAGTGGAGCTTGCTGCTAGTACAGTGGAGGCTCAGCCAGTGGAGAAACCTCCTCGGTCCCTGAAATTCACGTGGAAAATTGAGAATTTCGCAAGGATTAACAAAAAGATGGACTATTCTGATACATTTGGTGTTGACGGTTACAAATGGTACTTGGGTTAAAATCTTGCTTTTTTCTGCAGCTGAACTTGTTAATTTGTTGTGTGTGATGGGATCACCTAGTTCTCATTGTATCTTTTTTTGTTCCATTTTTCTTCGAAAATTGCTTTGGCAGGCGGATTCTCATCTATCCTAAGGGAATCGATGTCGGCCACCTGTCGATATTTTTGGATGTTGCAGACAATTCTACATTGCCCTATGGCTGGAAACGCTTTGCAAAATTCAGCTTGGCTGTAGTGAATCAATTTGACAACAAGTGCTCAATCAGAAAAGGTATGTTTCTGGTTCTGATAGACTGTGCCTTGGTTTCTGGTTTGATATTATGTCGAAACATCGCAAGCTCATGCCTGGGGCGAATTTAGGACTAAGCCACAAGTAATTGTTTGGTATTCTGTTCATTGATTATTGCTTGCTGGGAATGCAGTTCAAGCATATACTATAACTCTTCCTAACTGCTCAAATTTATTCTAAAATCAGTAAGGTCCATTGTGTGCTCTTGGCTCTCAAAGTACTTAATGCTCTGGCGCTATTATTTTGTTGATTAGATTCAGGTCTGGTCCACTATCGCAATGTATTGAATGAGTGTTTTCTGATATGCTTACTTTGTGTTTTCCCAGATGTTGAACATACCTTCAATGGAACGACGAGCAACTGGGGTTTCAAATCATTTATGCCCCTCAGTGATATGTTTGATCCTACTAAGGGATATCTTGTCAATGATACTTTGATTGTTGAAGCTGTTGTAAGGGATTTTCTTGATGATTGGTCTTATGACTCTAAGGAAAAGAAAGGTTATGCAGGTCTAATGAATCAGGGAGCAACATGCTATATGAACTCCCTCCTACAAGTCCTGTACCATATTCCTCGCTTTAAAAGGGTTGTTACCATTGCAATTTTCATGCTGCTGGATTTGAATGTTGATTATTATTGTACTGTTAGAATGATGTTATTTTGAATTAATTTGTAGGCCGTATACAGCATACGAACAATTGGGAATGACAAGCCTAGCGGAAGCTTTACTTCAGCTCTGCAGAATCTGTTCTTCAGGCTTCAAGCTAAGACAACAAGGGTTTCAACCAAGGAATTAACAAAATCATTTGGATGGAAGATAAATGATTCTTTCAGGCAACATGATGTGCAAGAATTCAATAGAGTACTATGTGAGAAGTTAGAGGATGCAATGAAGGTGACAAAATCTAATAGGCTGCATCTGTCTTTTTGTCTTTTGGTGGGATTTGCATATGTTATTAGTTATGGGTATTTATCATTATTGTTGTTATCTTAATCTTCTCTGGGATTAGGGAACTACTGCGGAGGGCACAATCAAGATGCTATTTGAGGGTGAATTTATGAGCTACATTCGGTGCCTGTCTGTGGACTACAATTCCACGAGGAAGGAGTTCTTCTATGGTACTAACATTTTCTTGGCATGTGAATGTTCTGTATAGCACTCTGATGGTAGGATGCTGAAATGCACATTACATGGCAGATCTGCAGCTCGATGTAACAGGCTGTAAGGATGTTTATGCATCTTTTGACAAGTATGTGGAAGTTGAACAACTTTCGGGTGATAACAGATACCATGCTGAAGGACATGGTCTACAGGTTAGTCAATCATTGTCCGTGTCTGGGATCTCAGCTTTATTTCAGAAATCCTGATTTAAGACAAACTGATTTCACTATATAGGAGCCAGGAGGGTTATTTGCGGGTAGGAGCCAGGAGGGTTCATTATATGTTTTTTCCGCGGATTAACCACTATGGTCGCCTCAAGGCTTAGATTGCTCAAGTCTGAGTCGTGTTTGCCCCTTCGTGGCAGCTGTTTTGCTAGTTATCTCTGTCAGTTGTTGGAACTGTTTCTGTTTTGCCCTTGTTTTGTCCCTGGATGTTCTTAGCTATAAATTTTGAAATGTGACTTTGGATTTGAGTCACGGTTTGGACATCTTAATTAGCTTTCCAAGTTTTGCCGTTAAAGTTTCATGTTTTCAATGCCTATGTCTCCTTTAGTTATCGATTTTCTTTAATCTAAACTAGATGCCCCATCAGTTAAACTAAGCCTAACACCTGGGCATTGATACGTTATCAGAAAGTAACACTTACCAATAGTCGGGAATTGATCTCCCAACATATGAAAACAAACCGAAAGCCTATAGCCGTTCAGTTTGTGGCTGAAGGTGGTTCCGGTTTAGCGGTACTTTCACTTTCCACTAGGGTGGGCACGTGAGTGGTTAATCCGCGGATTGATATCGATCCACCCGCAAATAATCCGACCTACACGCAAATAACCCCCCCTTATAATTTTTTCCGCTTCTGTCTGCTATATAGGAGCCAGGAGGGTTCATTATATGTTTAACTACTCTCCCCAAGCTAATCACTCAAATGATTTCTGTGGACATCGCTGATAGTTTGTGCTTGGTGTTTTCAGGATGCAAACAAACGTGTCTTGTTTCTTCGCTTCCCACCTGTTCTTCAACTGCATCTAAAGCGCTTTGAATATGATAAGTCGCAGGGCACCAGCCTCAAGGCGAGTATTTTAATTTGATGTACATCTCAAGCATGTAACAGACTTTGGTGTTCCTTGAAGAGCTTATTTCTATGGTGCATGCTTTATTAACTATTTAACCTATGCTTAATAGGCCTGATTCTCCTTTTTAATGTGAATTGTGTGCTGCAGATCAATGATCGGTATGAATATCCTCTTCAACTTGATCTTGATAGAGAAGGTCGCAAATATTTGTCCCCAGATGCTGATTACAGTGTTTGTAATCTCTACACTCTTCATAGGTGAGATTATTAAGTGTTTCTGATGTAGTTTGTGTTGGCATACTTGGTGGTCAAATGTGTTTCTCATACTAGGGTGTTAGTACTTCTACTTATGTGCTCTCCTGGTTTGTGATACAGTGTATTGGTTCATGCTGGAAGGGAAAATGCAGGGCATTATTATGCTTTTATTAGACCTCCTGTATCGGATGAATGGTATGCATATGGTCAAGATTGTGGGATATCTTTGCACTATCAACTTGTTTTTCTTCCTCGTAACACTTTGCTAGTGTCTCAATATCCTAGCATTTTGAGGGAGCGTTTGCAGTTTTTCCTTTTTCACTTTTTTTTGTTGCTGATGTCTTGGGTAAACTCCTCAACAGCTTGGATAGTGAGATCTGTCCTCGGTTTAGCAAAAAAATTCTTTGAGATCCTACACATATGAAACATTCTGATCATTAACAAGGCACTTAAGGCGCCTTTCCATGTTGGAGATGAGTCTGAATGTCATGGAATCACATGTTTGTTGTCTTGACATTGTGAACCTTTGAAATGATCACTTGGCAGAGAGCAGTAAATGGCAAAAACTGGGTAGATTCTTTTATTTACCAAGTCTTCTGCTGTTAACATGTCAATAATAATTGCGAGAAACTGCATTTGTTTAATAAGTTAATAAGCATTCCCTACGCAGTGATTTTTTTCCGCCTGCAAGAAATTATTAATCAGTCGATACGGATTATTTCCTGCTAATAGCTGGCATTAATGAATGAGGTTTGGAGAGGATGATCCAGTACTTATGTCGAAGTTTTAACTTGATTTCACATTTGCAAATCTAATTACTTGAACTCGCATTCACTCTGGATTTTTGGCTTTGTTCTTTTAGGTACAAATTTGATGACGAACATGTGACAAAAGAAGACGTGAAGAGGGTACTAGAAGAATACGGTGGCGAGGAAGAGGTAATGGTTTGTCAAATCTATGATCCATAGTGTAATATGACTAATGAGTATAGCATGGCTTATCTTATCCTTCTTGTTTTGCATCTGCCGCAGACGGAAAACTCGAATGCATATATGCTTGTCTATATACGTGAAAGTGACATAAAGAAAATCTACAATATGGATGGAAACTAAAAAGGTAATTGTTGAGCAGTTGAGAGTGAGTAAGTTTTTGTTGTAGCCAAGAGCACTTTATGGTTGTGGGTTTGATTTTTGTGGATTAATTTGTTAGGTGCTGCAGTCCGCAGATCTGATGTGATGGAGAGGGAAAGCGGGGAGCCGTAGTCGTGACGACGAGTTTTTTCCACGGACTAACCACTATGGTCGCCTCAAGGCTTAGATTGCTCAAGTCTGAGTCGTGTTTGCCCCTTCGTGGCTGCTGTTTTGCTAGTTGTCTCTGTCAGTTGTTGGAACTGTTTCTGTTTTGCCCTTGTTTTGTCGCTGGATGTTCTTAGCTATAAATTTTGAAATGTGACTTTGGATTTGAGTCACGGTTTGGACATCTTAATTAGCTTTCCAAGTTTTGCCGTTAAAGTTTCATGTTTTCAATGCCTATGTCTCCTTTAGTTATCGATTTTCTTTAATCTAAACTAGATGCCCCATCAGTTAAACTAAGCCTAACACCTGGGCATTGATACGTTATCAGAAAGTAACACTTACCAATATTCGGGAATTGATCTCCCAACATATGAAAACAAACCGAAAGCCTATAGCCGTTCAGTTTGTGGCTGAAGGTGGTTCCGGTTTAGCGGTACTTTCACTTTCCACTAGGGTGGGCACGTGGGTGGTTAATCCGCGGATTGATATCGTCCACCCGCAAATAATCCGACCTACACGCAAATAACCCCCCTTATAATTTTTCCCGCTTTTGTCTGCTATATAGGAGCCAGGAGGGTTCATTATATGTTTAACTACTCTCCCCAAGCTAATCACTCAAATGATTTCTGTGGACATCGCTGATAGTCTGTGCTTGGTGTTTTCAGGATGCAAACAAACGTTTCTTATTTCTTCGCTTCCCACCTGTTCTTCAACTGCATCTAAAGCGCTTTGAATATGATCAGTCGCAGGGCACCAGCCTCAAGGCGAGTATTTTAATTTGATGTACATCTCAAGCATGTAACAGGCTTTGGTGTTCCTTGAAGAGCTTATTTCTATGGTGCATGCTTTATTAACTATTTAACTTATGCTTAATAGGCCTGATTCTCCTTTTTAATGTGAATTGTGTGCTGCAGATCAATGATCGGTATGAATATCCTCTTCAACTTGATCTTGAAAGAGAAGGTCGCAAATATTTGTCCCCAGATGCTGATTACAGTGTTTGTAATCTCTACACTCTTCATAGGTGAGATTATTAAGTGTTTCTGATGTAGTTTGTGTTGGCATACTTGGTGGTCAAATGTGTTTCTCATACTAGGGTGTTAGTACTTCTACTTATGTGCTCTCCTGGTTTGTGATACAGTGTATTGGTTCATGCTGGAAGGGCAAATGCAGGGCAATATTATGCTTTTATTAGACCTCTTGTATCGGATGAATGGTATGCATATGGTCAAGATTGTGGGATATCTTTGCACTATCAACTTGTTTTTCTTCCTCGTAACACTTTGCTAGTGTCTCAATATCCTAGCATTTTGAGGGAGCGTTTGCAGTTTTTCCTTTTTCACTTTTTTTTGTTGCTGATGTCTTGGGTAAACTCCTCAACAGCTTGGATAGTGAGATCTGTGCTCGGTTTAGCAAAAAAATTCTTTGAGATCCTACACATATGAAACATTCTGATCATTAACAAGGCACTTAAGGCGCCTTTCCATGTTGGAGATGAGTCTGAATGTCATGGAATCACATGTTTGTTGTCTTGACATTTTGAACCTTTGAAATGATCACTTGGCAGAGAGGAGTAAATGGCAAAAACTGGGTAGATTCTTTTATTTACCAAGTCTTCTGCTGTTAACATGTCAATATTAATTGCGAGAAACTGCATTTGTTTAATAAGTTAATAAGCATTCCCTACGCAGTGATTTTTTTCCGCCTGCAAGAAATTATTAATCAGTCGATACGGATTATTTCCTGCTAATAGCTGGCATTAATGAATGAGGTTTGGAGAGGATGATCTAGTACTTATGTCGAAGTTTTAACTTGATTTCACATTTGCAAATCTAAGTACTTGAACTCGCATTCACTCTGGATTTTTGGCTTTGTTCTTTTAGGTACAAATTTGATGACGAACATGTGACAAAAGAAGACGTGAAGAGGGTACTAGAAGAATACGGTGGCGAGGAAGAGGTAATGGTTTGTCAAATCTATGATCCATAGTGTAATATGACTAATGAGTATAGATTGGCTTATCTTATCCTTGTTGTTCTGCATCTGCCGCAGACGGAAAACTCGAATGCATATATGCTTGTCTATATACGTGAAAGTGACATAAAGAAAATCTACAATATGGATGGAAACTGAAAAGGTAATTGTTGAGCAGTTGAGAGTGAGTAAGTTTTTGTTGTAGCCAAGAGCACTTTAGGATTGTGGGTTTGATTTTTGTGGATTAATTTGTTAGGTGCTGCAGTCCGCAGATCTGATGTGATGGAGAGGGAAAGCGGGGAGCCGTAGTCGTGACGACGAGAGAGCAGCTGAAATCCAAGAGGCTTTCGAAACAATGGTTTTGCCGTAGTTGTAGCAGAGTATTCAGAAGTTGAGGGTAGGTTGGTCTGGACGGCGGGTGGGATTTGGAGGTCGGTGACGGTGAGGAGCAGGGGATTCAGACATTTTTTTGTTTCTCTTTAGGTAATACTAGAATCAATACCCACGGCTACGCTGCGGGGACATTTACTCGTATTTGGCAAACTTTTGTCAGGTTAAACAAATGAAATACAGTCAATGAAACAAAGCAAATAATAGTTGCAATAGTCGGTAAAAGCTTCTCATACTAACGAACTTCATATACCAAACAAATGGCTGGTTCAAAAGGGTAAAAAAAAAAACCTTACAAAACATACATCAAGAGCTCATACTTGGATCTAGTACCAACCTGACTGACCGTGATGTGCATAAATAGAAAGGATATTGTGATGCACTAGTTGAGCTAACTGTTCTAAACTTGACCTAACCCTCCCTCCCTAAGCACTGTACCAAACCTGGAAACAATAGTAATTATATTTGAAAACATTGATCAATACTCTGATACTAAGGAAGAAGATGAAAGCCGAATTCCGACATCGAGTTCTAGACCCGAGACACATACTATGTGACAGGATTTCTACACCGTAGATCTAATCTAACGGTGTTTATTAATTGGAATTAAATTATTTAATTTTTACAATTTTTAAATGATTAGTTGGTCCTATTACTTTTTTATGCGTACCCTTTAACCCCTAAACAAACTTTTCAACATATTTTCGAATTATAGTACCAAATTTTATTCTAATTATGTCTCCAATCCATTAAGTTATATTTACTTACAATTTTAGTTCGGTGATTTATTCCTTTTGCCACTCATGTAAACGCTCAAACCCCCTTTCCAATTGTTGTCTGTAGTGGCTGACGAACCCTCTCCTCTCATCCTGGCTATCGATTGAAGCAATTGGGTTTTGCGCTTCCCATCGATGTTTAATCCCTCTATGGATTAAGAGAGTGATATGTTCGAGGCATGATGGATTGAATCTTGTGCTCGAGAGGCGGATGAGGAAGGATCGGAGAAGTGAAGACTGCTGACTCGAGAGGTGGGCCGAAGTGCGGATCGCCGATAGCGGTGGGTAGGTACGCTGACGTACGCTGCCGTCAATTGACGGTGAACGACTATGACCTTTACATCCTGTAAACAATGAGTAAGGCTGAAATGGAGAGAGGGGATTGGGTCTCGTCAAGGGAATTCTCTTGGTCGGAGTCCAGAATCGTAACGGAGTGAGAAAGTTTGGACGATGAAGAGAGACGGCCGTCGGATTACGGTGGCGACGGCGGCAACTGGATAATTGTGAATTTGGGGGGCTAGGGAAGACGACGATACATGAAAAAACGGCATCGTTTTGTGCTCGTATCTGAATCGAAAGTGGCCTGGAGAACGGCGTCGTTCTAGAGGTGTAGTTGAAAACAAAAAAAAAAATTGTAATGGTATGAGGGTCGAATTAGCGTCCTGGTCATTACCATGGGCAATCTTCACCATTCATGCTGAACAAGGATTTTGATTCAATATACTTCCACTGTTTTATTTATAACTATAAAATGAGCTCTTGTAAAATTAAAACATAAAACTAAACTAAGCAGGCCTTTTGTACCAGGCCCAATAGGTGATGTTGGATCTTCTCGCTTGGGAAATTTCCTTCAGTCGAGCCTCCTCTTTGTTTGTCTTGCTTGCTTCTCTTAGCTGAACTTGCATATAATTTTCAGGTTCTTGATTAGATATGCCGATTGATTGATGATAAATTCAGAGACTCGGTGTTGTTAAGCGTTTGCCGAGCATCGTTGGTAGGTCTTCAAATTCTCTTTTGTACTTTGAATTCGCAAACCTTCCATTAAAGCTTGTATATAATTTGTACACATTATCTTGCTACAGTAGGGATATGTTTGGGTCTTGCTTAACTGAGGCCCCTCTCGTGCATTCTCTGATTTAGATGTTGTTATGATGGAAGAAGACTTCGATATCTTGAAGGTCTATCATTTCCTCTGTCTCTCTCTCTCTCTCTCTCTCCAATGCATATGTGATATGTGTAATTACGTCTGTGTTCGGGGCATAAATAGTGATGGCCGAATTTTTTTTTGGTCCAGTGGAGATGGCCTCCCTCATTCGGTGGTGGAGCCAAACGCAATAGAGGAATATGCTTGTAAATAGGCTTGTCATTGGTGGGGATTTAATCTCTACTCCTTGTTAATAGGCTTGCTTTCCTTAGTTGGATCAGTTTAGGTGTCAATAGAGGAATTCTTTTTTTGGACGTAATGGTATTAATAAATTAGGTTTGTTTGGCGGTCTATATAAAGGGACGCCAAGCCTAGAGTTTACCTTGTAAAAAATAACTCCTGCCGTTTTCCCTGGTGACTTTAGCAAAAGTAAGGCTTTTCTTCTGTGCTGGCGGGGAGATAAACTAATTGCAATGGAGAAATCTCGGTACAGTGCAACAACTAAAATAGCTCTTTCTTTTGGTCGTTTGTGCTGTTCCTTTCTTACAACCCTTTTCCTTTCATGTATGTTCTTTATTCGCTCCTTAAGCCGCTTTGACTTTTGTTTGTTTATGACTTTTATTTGTTTCATGTATGTTATTTCTTTTGTTTTGTTGTTTAGCATGTCGAGGCATGATGATACTAAGAAATATGTTGGATCCATAACGACTACCTTTGGAGCCATGGAGACGACGTTCAATGAGTTGTACGATAAGATTAAATCTTTGACTGCAATGATAATGAAAACTGATACTGAATTTCAAGTGCTAAAGAGGCTGTCGAAACGCATTCTTGATGAAGCATCTGGAAGTTCACCTCCCACTGATGTTCCTGTCACGCCTACCGTAAAAAGAGTTTATTATATTGATTCAAACCCAGACTCAGATCGCGATGGCGATGGTTCACACAAGAGGCAAAAATATGCGGTCACGGAAGATCTAAATGAGTCAGTGAAGGTATATAGAATTTATTTAAACAATTTGCACTTGTGTCATTTTAAAGTGTTTATGATGTACCTATGTATTGTAATTTTTGTTAAATTCAAATCGTAGATGGAATTTCCGGTGACTGCATCTGGAAGTTCAGCTCCCACTGTTGTTCCTTTCACACCTAGCGTAAACGGAATTATTTATATAGATTCCGACTCAGACGCAGATGGCGATGATTCACACAAGAGGCCAAAAAATGCGGCTGTGGAATATATAAATGTATCGGGGAAGGTATATATAATTTATTTAAAGAAATTACACGTGTGTGATTTTAAAATGTTTATGATGTACCTATGTATTGTAAGTTTTGGTAAATTCAAATCGTAGGTGGAATTTCCGGTGATTGCAATAATGGAGTTAGATAATGATGAGGATCGTTCCATTGCGTGTTTCATCTTTGGTGATGGTCTAAAAGATGATAAATGGCTTGTTGAGAATTTTGGCCATAGTTTAAGTCGTCTAGAACTGAAGGACTTGCTTCCAGAAACGTGGCTTCATGGTTATGTAAGTATTTTGTAGTTCTGTTTTGGTAAGGCATACTTGACCACATATTAGCTATACTAATCTTTGGTTTTGCTTAATTTAGATTTTGACTGCTGTAGCTTGTAAATTAGCTGTTGATGTTAGGGCTTGGGGGAAAAATGGACCTTGGTACCTTTCATCCAATTTTGAGGTAAGCAACAATTATGGAAAACTCTTTACAGTAAGTTTACTTTTTTCTTTCTCCCAAAGTTGAATAGTGAATGTGAACTGCTACCCAGGATTTGGTTGTGAAAATGGGTTGGACTCCAAAAAAAGCCGTGGAAAATTATAAGAACCTATATCTTTGCGGCACCTTTGAATGCACCAAGGTATGGTGTAATAATATTAGCAATTTTTCCAGGGTACTATATTCTCTTAATGTTTTGCCCTTTACTGTATAGTCCATTCATTCTTTCGTCATCATTTACTTGTTTATTTATTTCAGATATATTTGCCAATGAATGATGAGAACCGCCATTGGTTTCTTATTGTGGTTTTCATGGACCAAAAGGTAGTGCATGTAGTGGACTCTTTGCGTACTGATTTGGGTTTGCTGGAAAATCGTAAGAAAAGGGTGCAAGGAATGGTGGGTGATCAAACTATTCCCTTCGTGTAAATTTAGTAAGTCAATTTTCTTTTCTTTTTTTAAATTTTGTACTGTAATAGTTACGTGGTTAAGTTTGTTGTTACAGTTGAAATTCTTTTACAAGATGCTTCAAGAATTTCCAAACAAGCCATCAACATATGAAGTGCCCAAAGTGCATAAGTTCCAAATCATAATTCCTCCATACGTTTCTAAGCAAATTGATGAGTTAGTATTTCTTTGAGTATTTTGATTATTTCATTTCGATTCACAATCTTATTTTCAATAATAAATGCTATTTTTCCACGTAGCTATGAGTGCGGGTTTTACGTCTGTCAGTGGATGTTGCACGGAGAGGCTGATGATAATTCGTATACGGCGGTATAATACAATCCTTTCCTTCTAAATATGATTCCATCCACGTGAGATTCTACATTATCAAATCGAAATCAACATGTTAAGAGTAATGTTATAAATTTGCTGCAGGTTTGTAGTAATAGAGGTCGACTAGCCTTGGCCATAATTTTAGTCAAAGATCTCTCAAATACAAGGCGCTCTCAAATTATTGATGAAGCAAGGGCCGTTTATGAAAGACATTTCAAGGGGAAAATCAGCTCAAAATGCCAAATGAGTTTATTTGATTCATTTTAGAAAAGTAGTTTTTGTTTTGTTTTATTGGTAGTCGGTCGGATTTATACTTTTATTGGTAGTCGGTCGGTTTTACTATCAATTTGATCCCAATTGAATTCATTTTAGATTGGTTTTGGTGTTTACCTTTATTTTTTGTTAAATCCGAATGTTGGTTCTCGTTTTTGTCGCTTTGTTCCTGATGCTTGTTCATCTGAGATAAGGCTTAAAGAAGGCGCCTAGGCATGAGCC